ACAACGCGTGTAGCACTTGCTTATGGTTCGTTAACTTGTACTTCTCAGTTTCTACAATAGCCGAATGACGTTTACATATCTCGGTTGTCTGATTGAAACAAACTGCATTTTCTTGATCAATGGATATTTTCTATCTCATTATTTCGTTTAATGATGATACGTCGAGACGATTCCGCTCATAAATCATCAAAATTGGAATTACACACTATTTTGGATAAGATAGTCAACAGCCGGATCGCAAAAAGGTAGTAATGGGGCAAGAAAGGTAGTAACGGCTGCAGTTGCCACCTCTTTGATTCCAGGTTAATAGCTGTTTACTAACATAGGTAGTAAACAGGTCGCAAAAAGTTAGTAACGGTTGCATCTAGCAACTGTTGACTAAGGTAGGTAGTAAACAGGTAGAAAAGGGTAGTAACCGTCCCAGAAAGGTAGTAACCGCTGCAGTTACTACATATTTGCTTGCAGTTGCTACCTTTTTACTAACTTTTTAAAGAGTGTATGGTGTTAAGGCGTCCGTATAGATATTCATATGAATACCCATATGTATATCCATATCATTCCTTTGCTTTATAAATACCTATGCGCACATTCTTTGTGCTTTTTTTTTTCTTGTGGTTCTTTTCCTCTTTGTGTGATGCGTTCTACCTATAAATTTGTTGTAATTCACACCAGTGTATGCCATATTCTGGTGCACTGATCTAGTCAAGCCTTCTCAGACTTTTTGTCCATGCACCAAACATTTGTAAGATGTTGAATAAAATTGAATTGAAAAAAAATAATATGGTGTTGAGAAGTCGATATGGGTGTTCGTAAGGATATTCATATGGATATCCATAATGGCATGGATATTCATAGCGTGTCACGCCGACGGACAGGGGACATGGCTTAACCCGAAGGATTTTCGTCCCTATAACGTATGGGAAGCTTACTGCTGACTCCAGGACCAGTTTAGAGAGGGCGCCATCCCCTCGATTACTCCTCCTATTACGCTTCACCAGCGCTGCATCGCAACACTAGATGGCGGAAACCCTACCCGATGGAACCATGTGCAGACAACGCGTATCTCAACCGCCGTGACAAGCAGGAAGCTTATGAAGCGCTAAAAGAAATTATCCCCTTATCTGCGTTACTGCTAAATTCGTCGAAAGACGATAGTCTTGCATCTAAAGAAAGTGAACAAAACGTTTATTTGATGTTCTGCGTGAGAAAATAGGTGAATGGTATTCTGGAGGCCCTGCGTTAGAGTGTCTCGATCCGTGCAGCGAAGGTGAACGAGTGCATCGAGGCACGTAGGACTAGCGCTATCTGGCAGTTATCTTCGAAAACGAAGGAATGCGTGAGCGCCTGTCTCAGAGGCGATAAGGTGTAGAACGCAAAGCGATGGGCAGGTGCCACCATCGTGTCGTCTGAGCAAAGCGCAACAATTTTCATTAGTTGAGTATAAAGAAGAAAAGGTCATTATTTATATTTAACTTTATTGAGTAGCTTTGTTCAGTGTTTTGTGAAGATTGGTTAGCAGTGTAGAGGGCGACAGAGCAAACATCAATACCTTAGAATTAATACGTATAATAGATATTACGAAACGGGTGGTTTCAGGGTCGCATTACTTTGCTGTTCCCACGATTATTGCTACCCAAGTCTGAAGGGCGAAACTTTCATGAGGAAAAGCGGCATGTCTTTCTATAATTTCGAGGTGCTACACATTGATTTAACACACAAATTAGCTGTCAAAAATACGAGTACAGCATGAGCGTAACCAGAATTTTTATTCGGGAGGTGGGAGACAGTAGAATAGAGCTGCGACTGCACTGAATATGTATTTTCGCGCGTGCGTTGTGTGCGTGTGATAGACATACAAAATATAAACACTTCGGTTATAGTGCACTATACTTCAGTATGGGGCGGGAACTTCGAACTGCCCTCTCCCCTGCGTGCGCCATTGCATATCAAGGACATTTATGAATGACGATTCGCGGTGTACCGAGAGGTGTAGCCAGAAATTTTTTTCGGGGGAGGCACCACCTTGATTTCGGGAGAGGCACCCCCTTGAAATGGTCATTTTTGATCTCTGTGCTATGGCGAAACAAATTCGGGGGGGGGGGGGGGGGGGGGGGGCATGGGCTGGGTGTGACACTTCCTGGCTACGCCCCTGGGTGTTCGCGATGACCGTGTACCTCCACTACATTCAAATGAGAAAGTAAAAGTACATTGACGTTCATGACTAACGAAAAAAGAAGTATCTACGATTGTTTTTTTTAATTTAATTTTTATTGGATGTTTTTAGATACATAACCCACTAACTTAACGATCCTGCCACCCAGTTGCTGGCCGATCCCTCTTTGTGGACGAGTGCTAGCGTTATGAGAGGATCATCATCATCTCTGACTCTGAAGAAACATGTGCTAGTCGTTAGGAACTCAGCCTTAGGGCTAAGACGATAGTTATAGCGCGAGAACAGAACGACGGCACAGAGATAAGAAGGACACGTGTCCTTGTGTCGTCGTTCTGTTCTCGCGTTATAGCTATCGTCATGTCATACCAACTAGCCCAAGCTGCCACACTTCTAGGGCTAAGGTTCATAACGCTCTCATAGCGTAAAACGTTACTCTATGACGCCACAGAACACATATAAAACCTATAATGTACGACGCTCTTATCAACGCAGCGTGCCGTATGAAACTAGATGGCAGTCAAGCCTGGTAAAGTCCTTGAAATTTTATTCAGACAGGGACTTGAGATGATGATGTTTGTGGTGGTCCCCTTTGTATCCGGTGGGCACCTTGCGGTATCCTGCCCGGAACGATAAAATAAATGAATTATCTGGCAGCGTGCACTCCCGCCCAACGTTACTAGATAGCTTCAGTTGTAAAACTCTCCCCATGCGCCGTGCGCCGCCGGCGTCTCCGTTTCTCGGCGTGCCGCGAGAGGGCGGGACCGCCGCATTTTGCTCTACCCGGCCGCTGCTCATCGCGTGCAACGGCGCTTCTCCCAACGCCGCTTCGGCCTTCTCATGACGTTAGCGCACGATAACATCAAAGATTACCCGCTACCCGTCAAGTTGTCCGCGTCCAGACTACATCTAGGCCAGAGTACTTTCCAGTAGCTGCTCAGGATCGCTTAATGTGGGGCAGAAAAGCCGTCCGTTACGGCTCATTGCATTGCTTTCTACAACAGGTCAGCCGAAGTGCATCGTAGTTTGCGCGCGCTTGCGTCGGCTGCTCGCCGGCAGTCAACCACGAGCGTGAACGGTCTGCCGCAAGCTGGTAGCATGGAATAAGCCTCCGTTAAAACTTATTTTGATTGTCTCTTCCGAATTTTATAAAAAATCACGAAACCGCTCATTTTGTTTCCAGCCAAAGAAGCAAGGTCACCATTGGAGCTACGTCATTTAGTGGCTCTAGTAATTATGGCCACTCGAAGACGAAACTTCCCAATTGTCTCGACGTCCTTTTTGGAATAGTACCTTTTCCATGTCTTGCCCTGACAACAGTTAGCTTTACCAAACGCCACCAAGAAGCGACATTTCTGCAAAAGGCGAAATAGCTTTAATTGAAAGAATGATTGAGTCAATTAACTGACGAAGTTAAACCAGCTTAGATGTCAATAAGCATAATGTTCTTTTCAGCAATTTATTGGTTTTCACAGTGCACACTTTACGGCAGACACAAAGTAGAAAAATATATGCAACGTTTTTTTTTTTTAAATTTACAATCAACTCCACACCTTTTTTGCTTGAGGTGAATATTGCTACAATATACCAAAGCATGTTAAGAGAAACAAAGTAAGTAATGAATAGATACATGCAAGCATTTTTATTTACAAATCAACTCCGCATCTTTTTTGCTTACGGTGAATATGGCTACAAAATACGAAATCATGTTGACAGAAAAAAAAGTAATGAATAGATACATGTATGCAAGGTTTTTTTTTTTCATTTACAACAAACTATACAACTTTGCCAGCGTGCTTACAGCAGCTTAGCGCGTTTGCGCGCCGACTTGACCTGCACATTCAAGGCACGCTCTCGCTGAAGGAATCTGGAATAGAAATGCATGCGCGTCACAAAAAAAAAAAAAAAAGCTCCTTATCCGGTGAAAGCTCCTTATCCGCACGCGGGATGGCCTTATTCCAAAGCGAGCGAAGCGTCGCATCTTTGGGAGCCGAGAAGAAGTGCCTGTCCGTGTTGTTCTTGTTGCTGCTGTAGCCACTGGTACACCCGGGAACGAAGCAGGTCGGCATTGTCGGCCTCAGCCTCACATGCAGAGGCCCACAGCAATAAAATACAGTCGCTCGAAAATCACGAAATGTGCCACTCGAACGGCATCGCTCATTCAGCACTTCTGAAAACGACCGCGCGAACAAGAAACGCCGGAGACCGGGGCACCGAATGCGCCGGCTACTGCGGCGCATAAGCGAAACCGCCTGCGAGCGCCCCGGCAACCGAGCCGGTTTGTTTCATCTAGGGACCTTAAGCCGGTTGCGACTGCAGCGCCACAGAGAGAAAGATCGGTGGCGGTTCCGGGCAGCGCCGGCCAGTTTTACAACTGAAAATAATCTAGTAACGTTGCTCCCGCCATTAGTTGATGCATAGCCTCCTCTATGGCTATGGTTGATGGCAGCGTTCCTTGTAGCCACCATAGCAGCGTCATAAAACACCTATAAACTACGCAGCATGCGCTCCCGCCATCTTTTGTGTGATAGCTGAACTAACTGTAGCGGTTGCCGGCCTTCTTGATTACCGGTTCCGAAAGTGCTGCGCTCTGTCGGAGCAAATCTCAAATACCACTTGCTGTTTTTTTTTTGAAGAAAAAAAAACATCTTTCCAAAAGTTTGTGGTTTATACGCGCAAAAAATATTTACATATTAAAAAATTTGGCGTCAAAATTAATGAACAGCTTGCGATTGGCTCTGAGGGGGCGTCTTTTATTCTTGCTGCTCCGGTAGTAAACATTTTGCCACGTGACCTGGCATAGCCAATGCCAGCACAGTGTTCACGTGCTCGCCAAGTGATCGGTAAATCAGTGGTGCCGTGAGATGCGTGCCCGTAGTCCTGTGGAACATTTCAGCAGTGTGTTCGGTAGTGGTTGTGGAGTGTTGTGTGTGGCTTGATGTATTCTTGATGGGATGTCTCAATACGATGCCATAATACACCTCTTGGCTGGAGGGTAAGTTATGCACAGAAGCGTGCAGTCAACCGTACTGCGGCTGCCGTAATGTAACCGCGAACGGCGAGCAGCGTCGCAGCTCGCTGGGACGCGCTATCACTGTCGAGGTCTCCCTGAAAAAAAGCCTTCAACGTCGTAGGCGTTAGTTCCCGAGCCGTGTCGTGCTCTCACGGCTGCTCTTGTGGAGCCAGGGGTTTCGGGTTGCTGTCTCTTTTGTGCCAGCGGACGTGCTGCCCGTTTCAGCGAGCTGCTTACGGTTAAGCTGCGGTTAAGGGCATCGTGGTCGTGGCGGTCGAGTAGCCGGGCGTTTATTCCACCACGTAGTACACGAACCGAGCCTCCCGACAAAAAACGGTGCACCGCTTAGATCTGTTTAGTTTCCCGCACCAACGTGTGCATGGCGCCCTTTGTTTGGCTTGTTTAGTTGAAAACGTGCGTTAATTATCGATTGGAGTGTGGGGCCTTTTTCGTGCTACGGGGTGGCAATTCACTGCGCAGTGTTGTGCCAGATCGCGCTGTGCAGCTGGTGGAATGTAGGACGCGGTATTTGTTTTGAGCATGCCGCAAATGTGTGCGGACGCCGTGTCGGTCACGTTCACACCGGCGCAGCAGTTCACGCGTTGTAACGGATTGTGTGTTGTACTTTTCCGGATTTCTTTCTTTAGTTCATGCGTTGTAACGGATTGTGTGTTGAACTTTTCCGGCTTCCTTTTTTTTTTTCTTGATTTGACAACATCTTCACACCATACTTTTCTGGCATTTACTCTTCTTCACCCTGCCGAGGAGGAGGAGGAGACTGCACGTTTGGAGGACGTTCGCACGTATTTGCGGTAAGTTATACAGATTGAGGAGGTGGATGGAGGGTGTCATGTTTTCTAAAAGAGACTTGGGCCTTGCGGTTTTTGTTATTTTTCCCCCCGCTTTGTTCCGGCTGCTGTTTCCCGTCCACCGGTGAATGCCCCAAACGGGATGTAGAGCCTGCCCGAACAAGCTGGCATTCGGACTGGGTGCATATCGCCGAGGCTTGCCGAAGCTGCTCCAAATTCAGGGCTCCCGCCGCTTTTTGTCTATTTTTCATGCATCGAGAGTATTATTTCCCCACTTATGCGCTTCAATGGCACCATGAAAAGCAGGGTACAGAAACTCGGTCCAAAAAAATTTCCATGGCGGAAGGAGGAGTAGGGTAATTAGTGTTGGCTCTCCCTCGCGAGCTTGTTTACTGCGTGCGTTGCGCCGTTCGTCGTGAAGCTCTGTTGTATTTTGCGAAGAGGAACGGTGGCAAGTAAACATAAGTAACTCAAAGCAGAGAGTTAGGCACTGCGCCGTGCTCCCGACCGGGTTGCAGAAATTAGGTGCCTTTTCTCATCTTCTAACCACTACCACCGAAGCAGAGAGAGAATTTTAAGTGAGGTGCGCATCGTGACAACACCGTCATTCCAGAGCCTGACATTCATCAGCGCAGCACTTTTGACGGAACTCAGTTCGGGCGTTCGGGGCTTGTTGCGAAACGGCCTGGCTGGTCACTGTAGTGTATGAACTGTAGTACACACTCACTCGAGGAAAGTGTCCCAGTGACGCACGCATCAAGAAACTAAACGATGCTTGAGCGCTAGCCAACTGCCTTATTAGGCTAAGCGCGGAATTTTCGGCGCGGCGCAGATGTCTAAGGGAGAGATGTCGCCTAAGGGGAAGGGGAACGTCTTTTGTTTTTGTGCTTTTTAAAATAAGGATTTTGTCAACACGCTCAAAGAATAGAAAGACTTTCGCACTTGCCACACGCCGTGCCGAAGGTCGTGTTTGTAGCAGGTGCTTTTAAATTGTGCGCATTAGTGAAAAAAAAAAAAACTTTGCCCCGAGAAATCCGAAGACGGGTACCACAGCGCGTTGAAAAGTACTGCTGCGAAGGAGTTCACGGGACTCGCGCGAGTCTTAATATAGTTGTGTGCAGCAGCCACGATGCCGACCCGGCGCCCCCCTTTTTTCTTTTTTTTGCGCAGTTTGGGTGGAACAGCCGGTGCCATCGCCACCTGTCCTCTGGAAGTGGTGAAAACGCGCCTGCAGTCGTCGGTAGCGAATTTCCACTTCCTCTCCTCCGGGCCCGGCGGTTCTCCGGCGGCAGTCCAGTCTCTCGCCGAGCGTTTGGGCCTCAATGCCTGCACGTGCACGCCGACGCCAACGGGTGGAAGCGGCGGCTTCACTACCTCGGTGATCAACGCCAACAACACGAGGGCGCCATCCATAGGAATATGGCGCTGCCTGAAGTGAGTGTTCTCCGTGCGTCTTGCATAACACCATTTTTTTTTTTTTCGCAAGCCCCTCTCAGGTCAATCTATCGAAATTTCAAATTTGAGCTAATACTTGCCGTTTCGTGACAGCCTCATAGTTCTAGGTGACTTCAGTAACGTAAATGCAAATGGGATTAGTCTACATAGGTGCTATGAATGTGACGCCAGCGTCAATCAGTATGTATTCAGAAAGTTGAAAACCGTACTTATTTCGAGCTGGATATCATGGCCAGAGATAGTCTTTTTGCATACGTGCTGTTGACACTGGCTGTCTTACCTGTCAGATCTGCAAATCAAAGGTGCCTAATGATGATACATTGCCGTGATAGTGTATGTCAGGCTATTACGTTATAAAGCTCTCGAAAGCAAATGTTTTGTATTTGAGCTTTTAAAAAAACAGTTGGGCATATGGTATTTGCAGGGCTCCATTGTGCCAACAGTGGAGTTGTCGCATGCTAGTAGACAATTTCAATGTGAAATGTATGCTGCTATGTCAAGTGTTTGTATGCTGAATACTGTGAAATGTTATTTTGTGTGTTGCCACTTTCCATTTATTTTCTAATTCCAAGTTAGGCACAATGCATTCTGTATAAGTTAATTTTTTTAGCAGTTAAGATAAGAGACCATGGATCATGTTCTTTGTAGTGTATCTGTTTTACTACTAATTGAAAGTAAGTTCACTATGACAAGTGTGAAGTTTTTTCTTTGTTGTTTGCATTGAAATGCTAGCAAGGTGACTGATAAAGAGTGCTTAACAGCGCAAACGGCAGGAGGGAATAGAAGAGATCAGACAGAGAGCTTCTATCCCCTCCTGTCGTTTGCGCTGTTCAGCACTCTTTTATCATGTTATACCAGTAAAACTTGCGTTGGGTCTAGTTGGTACATAGCACAAAAAAAGAAGTTAACTTCTTTGGCGCAAACAATACGGAAAAAAGGAAAAAAGAAGGCGAGAAAAGAAACAGATTGACGCCAATGGCGTCAATCTGTTTCTTTCCTCGCCTTCTTTTTTCCTTTTTTCCGTATTGTTTGCGCCAAAGAAGTTAACTTCTTTTTTTGTGCTATGTTATACCAACACGCCCAATCCTTCTGTCTCTCAAGATGACTGGATGTTAATGTTAGATTATCTTTTGGAACTTGGATACACGTCGCCTATAAGTTTATTGTGGAAATGGACTCCGTAATTAAGTAATTTGCTGGCATTAAACTTTACAGGTCATTGTTATTGTAAAGCGCTTGCCGTTCTGCTATGTATACGGGAGTTGATTGACCATTATCACATTGTCGCTTACAGGTTGGCTCTTAAGTGCCACCTAAAATGCAAGTGATATTCATCCTTCTTCAAAGGGGAACTCCTGTGCATTTTTTATATTTGGATAATGCCCTTTTTGAAAAATATTAAGTCCTTTAACCGCTACGGTGGTTCATTTGCAGATACACTTGCCGATACTTTTAAATTAGCAATAAAAAATGAGTCAATACCAAAACAGAAAGCTGTGCCATGCTGTGCATGCGATCATATCATGAAATGTGCTACATACCATCACGGCTGGCCAGGGTGTCAACATGGCTCACATACTTCTGTCGCATGAAAAGCAAGCTGGTAATGCCATATCCGACGCAGAATCAAGCTGTGCGAGCCCATCTGAACTTACAGGGACGAGTTCAGCTATGATTTCAGCTACTATACGAGCACGGAAGCATCACCTTTTGATTTTTCACCTGCACATGAAGCAGCTAACAAAAACAAACTGTGCCAGCTTTATTGTCGTCTCATAGAAGAAAGAAATCGTGCGCTGCATTCATCGTCTGCTGGGTGAGGCGGTGTTGGAAAAGACTAGGCATGTTACATCACATACTCAGGATGGCCTGCTTTCAGATGTGTGCTTTGGAATTGGCTACCAGTCGTTAAAATTCACTTTATAATTAACTAATTCACTTATAATTGTATACTTTGGCACATATCATCACAGTTCTGAAGAGAACATATGCTCAAACTTTTATTGAAATCTGAATATATATAAAAATTGCTGGGGAATATAGAAAAATTGCTGGAGTTCCCCTTTAACATAAAGCTGCCCCTAAATTAAATGCTGAACCACTTGTGAAGTCTGTTTGTGTGGTATCTTAAGAGTCATGTGTAATGTTGATGTAGTGCAGTCATCGCTGTTTGTGTTTCTGCTTGTACAGTGGTGCATCTGCAAATGTCTACTGTGCCCTTTTGCGCTGCCACAGCTCAGCACTTGCGCAGGTGCCCATGCGTGGTCAGTCGCTGCTTCGGCGATCTCTCACACTGACATTTTCTCTTTCTCTCTCTCTCTCTCTCTCTATCTTTATTCCCAACTCAATCCAGGCAAATAGTCGAGATGGAAGGCACCAAGGCTCTTTTCAAGGGTCTCGGACCTAACCTGGTCGGAGTGGCGCCTTCGAGGTACATCATTTTTCACAGCTGCTGCCGCTGTAGCTGCCGCTGCTGATTGGGGCATGCGCAGGCGCGCACCCTCGTTTTCTTTACCATTTTGCCCTACTGTCTTCCCCTAGCAGTCGTCCACTCACACCATTGTTGCCTTCCATGTTTTACCACACCAGGGCCATCTACTTCTGTACATACTCCAACTCCAAGAGCATCTTCAACGAGCTTCTTCCTTCGGATACTCCCATTGTACATATCTGTTCTGCAGCCAGTGCTGGTAAGACTCGAGAATCGTGTGTTGTGGTTCAGTAGCTTAGTTTTGTTGCAGTGTTACTGCCTTTATTTCCTGTAGCCTGCTTGTGTTTGCCAATGCTCTGCTCAGTGGTGTCGTGATTTCAGATGTGTAGTGCGGTCTAAGCTGCAAGTGCTCTGATCATTATGAGTTATTACTGGAAGCGTGGATCCATGCTGTGCTTGCAACTGTTGTCTTTTCAGGTTTTATGTCCTGCACGGCAACCAACCCCATCTGGTTCGTGAAGACGAGGCTCCAACTTGATCAAAGGTGAGAATTCTGCAAAGATTTTGTGGACTGCCGGGCAGGTGGCTTTCACTGTGTTAATGTAAAACACCTTGAATAAATTGCTCTGAATCGGCATGGGTAGGGGATAAAGAGACTGCAGTCTGCTGTGCATCTCTGAAGCAGTTTTCAAAATACTAAAGTAGTGAATTTAACTGCCACATTTTTCAGTAATGTGGAAGCAACACTAGAACGTGTTCTCATGTACAGATGTTTGTCTGAGTGTTAATCATTGTTTTTTTGCCTTACTTGTAAATTAGAGCAATGCGGCCATCTTTTCTGATCTCAATTCATTAGAGGAGCTTAGTTGTTCATCTGCAGTAGTGAGTATGCGGCACATAACTTGTTGGGATGTGTTAAACTGTTTCAGAATATTGTTTACCAAGATTTTACTAATCACTTACGGATGCAGTCATGCATACATCTGCTCCTCTTTTTTTTTTTTTTTTTTTTTGCTGTTGCATCAGCTAGTAGCATTTCAAAATGAGAGCTTTAATCATTTTATTCACACATCCCATTTATTGTTTTCTCGGCAGGATGTATGGCAGCATCTCTGCTCTGCAGTGCATTCGTGACATCTACCAGAGGCATGGACTGCTGGGTTTCTACAAGGGGATCACTGCTTCATACTTTGGCATCTCCGAAACCATCATCCACTTTGTCATCTACGAGTTCATCAAGGCTCAACTGCGACAACGCAAGGAGTCCTCGAGGGACTCGTACAACCCTGATGTCAAGTCTACTCGAGACTTTGTACAGTTCATGGCCGCAGGTGCCGTCTCCAAGACCTGTGCCTCCACCCTCGCCTACCCACATGGTGAGCGAACGTTGCCCAGAAGATTTTTTTTTTTCATTGCTACTTTGCAACACTGTAAGATGTGTAAATTGACATGCTAAACCTTAGAAAGTCATTGCTAATGCATTTAGTTTCTGAGTGTGCATAGTAGAGCCAGATATAGTGCGTCCTTAGCACGAGATTCCTAGTAATACTGGGTAATACTCCCAAATACTACTTCTGCTGTGTTCTTAGTAGAGCATTTTATCTCACATGTGCTTGCTACTCCTTTATGTTATATTTTACTCAGTTTTTCTTGTCATTTTCGCACTATGTCTCTACCTTGCTTTATTGTGTACTCTACAGCAATGCATAGCTCTTTTTATACTTGGGAACAGTTAGCACTTGTGTCCATGGTTAATCAGTGTTAGCATATATGAATAAAGCTGCCCCGCCTCCTCTTTTTTTTTTCTACATGGATGTATTTCGCTAGTGTTTTATCAGGCAACTTATGTTTTGCAAAAAGCGTCTCTCATAATATATGGTGATTTTTGGACGTTAAACCCCACATATCAATCAGTCATGTTTTGCAAAGACCACCATTCTGCAGGTGACCATAAAGCTTCATGCTAGGGCGTCTTTAAATTCCGTGTTGCACTATATTCCCTGTGCCAGCCATGTTCCTTGCAGCACTAATGGATAGTAGTGTAGCCAGAAATTTTTCTTTCATGACGGAGGGGGGTATCATACTTTATGTTGTTCGTGCATGTGTTTGTTTGTGCTTGCATACATACACATACAAAATTGAGCATTTTTGTGGAGTGGGGGTTGTAGCCCGCCCCATGGCGGGCCACTCCAACCAACATTTCTTTTTTCGGTTCAGACCTTCCACAAATAGCTGCCCCGCAATCTCCGTTATCCTCGGTCAGGAGGAGGAGAAAGTAGTGCTGTTTGTCACATTATGACAGGAGTTGACTGTGGTCTATGCCCCCCTCCTCCTCCCTTCTGATCAGGAAGTGCCAGGAATACATTTGCCCTAGTCCTACACTACAGCGCGCTATCTGGGTTCTTTATCGGCCTCTCCACGTTACAGCGGTTAAGTAAGCCGGTCAATTGTTGGCACATGGCTGCTATATATCTTTGTGCCTGTGTGTGTTAAGGGCCGGCGAGCCTTGCTTGCGTATCTTTGCGGCCGCAAACAGTTCAGTTGCGTCGCGTGACCTCTTCCAACTTGGTGTGTCGGTTATCACGCAAGCGAGCACGTGCCTTTGTTTTCTCCCGCTGAAACGAGCTTGCACGTGTCCGGCGCCGCAACTCTCGCCGCAGCCGCTATCTCGACGGTACTCCCCCTCTATCGCGCGCTTCGCTTGTAGCGCCACTTTCGAAACTGCCGCTATTAACGTTGTATTGTGGGTGTGTGTGCGCACGTGGGCGGCCCGCTTCAACACTTCGGATGTTTCAACCGTAAGCGCAATCCTGTGGTCAATTTTCACGGAAACAAGCCCTCGAGAGCGGCATGCCTCGCAAACGTGCGGTCTCGCGTCTTAGATGCCGATACTAGCGAAGACCCGCGGTCGAGCCTCGTTCAACTTGCGTTTATTACGGCACGTCGAAACGTTGGTACCTACGAGTTATCAGAAAGTTATTTGCTGCAAGAAGTAACTTTGTGACGGCCACGGATTCCCCCATGGTGGAGCTGTAACTTCGTTGGCAGAAATACCGTCGCGGTGCTGCTCGAGCACGAGCAACACTCGGCGTCACAGCGATCTCCGAGACGAAGTGAAAGTGCATAATACGGTTTGCGAGAGTGGAAATTTGCCGGCTCTTATTGATTGACCCCAGTTTGGTGACTGACACAAGCATAGGCCTGCGCAGGGTTCTCCGTTTGAGAGAGGATGTTCACTGCCTCCCCCCCTCCCCCCGCGGGAGAAAAATGAAGGGATGACATGCGTCTCACAGTGGCCTCTCACGAGTGTCTCTTAGCAAGTTACGGCAGTACCGGTACGGAAATACGGCTAAGGCTGTACAGTAGCGTTCCTCGTCTCCGGTGGCAGTGTGGTCCCTGGACGGCAGGTCCCTCGTTAATAGGCTGACAGGCCACATCGAGCCGTGACAAGCCCCACAGTAATTTTTGAAAGAGCCTTTCTGTTGTGATGAGGTGCCTCCACTGGTCAAAGGTTAACGACCGGTAAAGGAAGAGCGCTACAGTAATACCGTACCAGATTTCCCCAACTTGCTGAAAGACCCTGCCATTGCGTGTGATATGACCGTAGGCTGCTAAAGACTTAATGGTTTCTGATGCTCGCACCGTGAGCGCTCTTCGTCGAAGGATCGCGTGAACGCTGTTGTAGTTTAGAAGTGTGGCAGCTTGGGCTAGTTGGTATGGCATGACGATAGTTATAGCGCGAGAACAAAACGACGACACAAGGACTACGTGTCCTTCTTGTCTGTGTCGTCGTTCTGTTCTCGCGCTATAACTATCGTCAGGCTGTTGTAGTAGCGATCCGGTCAAAGTGACTGCGCAGCTGCTGGCCCTTCCCCTTCGGCGCCACGGTACTGATAAGGGGGAGGCGAATCCTCTTATCGCGCAATGCTCGAGGTCACTTGTGCATCTGTGTGGCTTCGCCCGCTGCTTGTCAACGAGTGCCCTTCGCCGGGAGGAAGGAGAGGCGAAGCAGTTCCGGGACTGGCGCCGTACACGTGATAATGACATGCATTGTTGATAAAGGACACCCTGTTTGCGATACAGTGGATGTCACTGCAATTGAGCTCCCCCCTCACCCACGAGACGTGCGCTCGGGTTTCTCTCGGGATCGCGTGTCAGCAGAACGCTATTTTCTGCATAAGCGACCCATGTTACTCACGCCGGGCTAGATTGAGGAAAGACTCTTCCGGGAAAGCTTTTTACCTCGCCTGTACACTGTTGAGGTTACCGTGTTACCACGAATCCCTGGTGCGATCAGCGCAGTGCGCGGACCTTTACGGAACGTAGGCTTACTTCCACGAGACGTGAACTACACTCGTTGGGTACGTTATATTTGCGAATATTTAGAGTGGTTCTTGGCTACTAGTGATATCCGCCTTACGTAAAGAACCATGCCGTTTGAGAAGCGAGATTGACGGAGCATACCGAAGCCGCAAACGTGAGACCCCTGTGAGAGGTCGACAAGCACAAAATTGTTGTTTTTTTTTTTGTAGAAATGCGGTGCTTTTAACTTTCGGTTCAGACTCCTTGCAGCGGCGTTATTACAAATTAGTTGGCTTTTCTAATTAACCCCCCTCCCCCCCGAAACATTAGCTGAGAACGAACATGACTGCGATTGTGGTTGCAAGCATGGAAAGCCACTAAATCTTAGCCAAAAACTCGTAAACGCGATCCGGTATTCCGTTGAACGGCAACGTCAAACAGTATACAAACAAACAAACAGAAAAACTTCGGTTTCTGCAACGAGTCAGGGGACGTGTCGTTTGTGTAAAGAAAAAGGTTACCTAGTGAAAGTAGGGGAGGCCACCATTTTCGAGAAATGGGTACCCTCAACACCGAGCATGGGCCGGGGTGTACCTGTCGCCCCATTAGAGACCGGCGGTGCCCGGCCCCGTTGGGAATCGCACCGTGTCAGGAAATTTGACACTCTTTGAAATCCCTGACGTCACGTGTGGATATTTCAGTGCAAAGTTTAAAAATACAGCTTCGACTGGTTTTCTCGTTCATTAATAAATTAAGTGTGGCAGCTTGCGCTAGTTTGGTATGGCATGACAATAGTTATGGCGCGAGAACAGAATGACGACAGAGACAAGAACGACACGGACACGAGCGCTATTACTATTGTTATGTCATACCAACTAGCCTAAGCTGCCACACTTTTAAGACACGAGCGCTATAACTATTGTTATGTCATACCAACTAGCCCAAGCTGCCACACTTTTAAGTTGCATTTCTAGTTATTCTGGCTCTTTTTTTGAGTGTTTCTCGTCATCAATCAGTCCTCATAACCCTTATCGTAGTCTCAGTTTGCCGTGCGCGGCGCACCTTCACCCTCTGCATTCGCACCAAGTAGCGCTCGTGTCCTTCTTGTCTCTTTGTCGTCGTTCTGTTGTCACTGTCGTCATTAATAAACTTGTGATATATAAATTAACAGCATCCGGACCTCAATAAAGTTATTTGAATCAGAGTTCTGAGAGCACACATCGATCTAAACCAATTAATTTTCACTGTGGTGCCAATTCAACCCAAGAGTTTCAAACCGAACTTCTTCCCCCTTCCCCTATACGTGCAGTGTAGGGGAGGATGAGGGGAGAGAGCAGTTCCGTTTGGCACGTAGTCCCGGGGCTGCAGAAAGTAGGCGCCATGTTCTGACCACTACCACCCACCACCTTCCTCGCCGTCACTTCGCCTGCGACCTCCGCCCATCTCGTATATCCGCCTATTGTGTGCGCGGTGTGTTTACGATCCATGCGTCGCCCTTTCCCATCTCCGGACCAACCTGCCCCCCCCCACTCTCGCTGTCGTTCATGTGCGTTTTGTACGCACTGGTGCGGATGCGTGGCGCGTGACACGTAGGCTGTGCTCCCTTCCTCCCCCGTGCGCTGTTGTTGGTTCGTTGACCCACTTTTAAGGCCGCCCCCGTGATGAATACCCGCCGGCGCGCATCTTGGCTGCATTGATGCGCCGGGGTTAACTGATAACGCCAGCCCAAGTAGTTTTACGGCGAAGTTTGCGAAAGGTCGCTACTGGAGCTCGAAAACTGTTTTTGTGCGTCTCGGTTTACAAATGCGATTTGCCACTATCATTACCGGAAGGCTGCCTTTCCAAGTTGGAAAAGAAAGAAGGTACCAAAACTTCTCTACGCATGCCTAAACAGTCCGGCACAACGGGGGGTGGAAGATAACAGCATTTGATTCACTCTTTTGCGAAAGGTAATCGGTGCCACTATTATCAATATTTCATGCCCCAATCATGAGACGTGACTCTTCATTCCTGCGATTGTACAAAACTGCGCATTAATCGAGTTTTGGCGCGCATACACTCCACAATGTGGAGC